GGTTAAAATAAAAACACTGACAATAGTAAATCTTGACAAAGATGTGGAGCAACTGGAACTCTCATACATCGATGTAAGTACAAAATGATAAAACCACTTTAGAGAACAGGAGGGCAGTTTCTTATAAAGTTAAAAATTCACTTACCGTATGACCCAGCAATTCTACTCTTAGGCATGTTTCCAAGAAAAGCGAAAACGTATATCCACAAACAAAACAAAAAACCTTGTGTAAGAACATTCATAGCAGCCTTATTAATAATAACCCCAAACTGGAAACAACCTAAATGTCCATCAGCAGGATAATGAATAAACAAATTGTGGTATATTTATAAAATGGAATACTACTCAGTAACAAATTACTGATACACGCAATATACATGAGACTTTAAAAAATTAAAGGAAAGAAGCCAGATGCAGAAGACTGCACATTATAAGATTCCATTTATATAAAGCACAAAAACAGGCAAAACAAATTTTTAGTGACAGAAATCAGCCAAGTGATCACTGGAGGGGAACAGAGATTGATTTGAAAAGTGCACAAGAGAACTTTCTGGGTTGATGGTAATGTTCTATATTTCTTTTGGGTGGTTATTACACAGGTCTATACAATTGTTAAAACTCATCAAATTGAACACTTAAAATGTGTGCATTTTACTATATATTAATTGTACCTCAATTTTAAATGAAAGTGTGTGTTTGGGGAGGGATTCCTCTTCCAGGAGCACCTGTTCCCAACTCTACTGACCTATCTAATCTGTTCTTAGTGTTATCTTGGGGCTCTAATCTCCTGAGGGCTAGGACCTTGATTACTGAGTTTATCTTATAGGGCACACAATCCAGTGTCCAAAGAAATAGCATTTAGAATCTTTTAAACAATTCTGTAGAACTAACAGTCTTTTATTTCCATTGGTTAATAAGCAACCATTTGACCACTGTAAGGCACTGACTTGTGCTGATTGGTTTTAACCTGAACACATGGTGGGGTTCTTTAAATGTACAGTACTTAACCCACTCTGTTGCAAGCTAGTCAGAATAATAGGGTAAAAGTGAATTGTTCAAAGGCATGGACCATACCCTGTATTAAGCCCATTCTCTGGCATTTGCTGCCATGGCCTTCACAATGCTTAGAATCAGTCTCAGGATATTTGTATACAAAATCATTTCCTATCCAAAGCAGTCATCTTTTCCAAAGCAGGTAGACATTCAAGTCATACTTCCTCCCTTGTTAAAAAAAAATTTGTTAGTATTTGCTCTAGTTTTGTATAAATGAGAAATCTCCGGGGAACGGGGGGCTACAAATGGTTAAGGCATTCAGCTGCTAATTGAAAGACTGGAAGTTTGAGTCCACCCAGAGACGCCTGGGAAGAAACACATTGCTATCTACTTCCAAAAAATCAGTCACTGAAAACCCTGCGGAGCACAGTTCTGCTCTGCCACACATGTCACCATAAGTTGGAATCAACTCCATGGCAACTGGTTTTGTGTAGAAATGATCCACAAGTCAAGTTCATTGGCAGGAATTCATTAACAAGCAACTAAGTTCATACCAGGAAGAGCACCATTAGATTATAAATGACTTGACAGTAGGTGCAAGATCTTTACAATTTTGGGGTGTTCAATTAGAATATCTATTGCCCAACTGGGCTTACGAGAGGTGTTGCATGAATGCTGGACTCCCTCTGAAAGGACGGTGTAATCTGCAGAGGTGGGAGTACACATAGGGAGTCTCTCTGCAAGAGAAAGCTGGGAAATTCAAGCAGTGGTGTTTTTGGACAGGGTCCCTAAGACAACTGAGGATGAAATCCTGCTCTCTGTGTGTGTGTTTGCTCACTCCTCAAATATTCCAACTTGGCCAATGAGTTTCAGAGAACTAGATCCTTACTGCACGAGCCCCAGATTTATAATTCTAATAACAGCCATTTAATGTGCACTGAAGTGGTTGCTGGGGCACTGCTTTGTCATCATGCAAACAGAAAAAATTTTTAGCCATCAGAAGGAAATCTAAAATCTAGAAACAAGGTTTCAGCCTAAAGAGCTTTCTGGAGAATTAACTGTCTACTACAGGGAATTACAGTGTTATGTGTCTATAATCATCTTCCGAATCCCCACGTTGAAACTTGAATACTCACTCCATGGTAAAAAGCAGGCAGCTTGAAGAGTAAATATCACACTTTTATACAGGTGTAGCCAGTGAGGAAGGATTTACAGGTGCCGAAACAGGAAGTGTTACTTTAAGCTTTATGTATATGAAGTCAATGTTATCAGCTCAAAATCAGACAGGCCTTCTGGAGAGGGTTTGGAAATATGGGCTTGCTTCTTAACTCAATAAAATGCTAGGGTGGCTCTCAAATGTAAGGGAGAAAAAGGCATATTTTGGGTCGTTCTTAGTAGTATAATATCTGAGGTTAACAACAAAAGAGGCTCCTGTTTTCAACAGAGAAGAGCCAAAAATAAGAATTAGTCATCAAGTCTCCAGGGCAATCTGAGGCTGGAAGCCTCCCAAGCTACATAATTTTAGCAGGTGCTATTGGCAAGGCTGTTTGAGAAACAGCTACAGTGTGGTGAAAAGAATATAGTGCTAGAGGTCAAGCTGTGGCTCCAGCTCTGCCATTCACTGGCTGGGTGACTTTGGGCAATCCATTGAGTCTCCCTGTAGTACTGCAGTCGAGAGCTTTAGACAAACCAGCAGACCCTTGGTTCACTGTCCAGTGCATAGAACACTGCCTGGCACCATGGGTGCTGACTGAAGGCATCTTTAGGTTTGAATCTTCAGTCCAACACTAACAGGGTGACCTCAGGCAAGTTACCCACCTTCCTTGAGCTTCTGTCATCAGGGGATGGTAACTGTGTCATAGGATTCTTGAGTTTGATGAGATGATGTACATGAAGCACTTAGTGAACAATAGATTAGCCATTATAAGTATTAATTCTATACTAATTCCTTACATTTCTTTAAAAAAGAAAAATTTCAGGGCATTTTAGTTTTGCTTTAGACATCTTCTATAATGTATGCCCAGCTAGCTATGATCTCCAAGATTTGTGCACCAACCCCCCACTACCACCATTCATGGGGGTAAGGACCCAAGAGTCAGGTGTATACCAATGACTCTGCCCAGTTCGATTGGTTCTGTCTCTGTGTGTCTGGAATAGTTAACATGTAATACTTGGAGCTATGGAGTAGTGACAGGAAAAACAGACTGTTTAATATAGACAGAAAAATGTGGATGTGCAAATGGCACAGACCATGCGTGCCTAGGAGTCCCAAATGCCTTTCTGGTTCCTGGGTCCAATCTCATCCTGTGTTTTGGAGTCTATGAAACAGTTTGTATCTTTATTTTCTGCCTTAGTACTAGTGTGCTTATTATTTATAACTAGGGTTTGGGAAAATACGAGGTTTCTTTGATCCTCAAAATATTTCTGTAACAGACAAGGTGGACAACATAGTAGAACGAACACATAGAATCAGACAAACATAACCCTGCCATAAACTCACTGTGTAACTTTTGAGCAATAGTCTATGCCTGTTTCCTCATTTATAAACTAGCACAGCAACGCCTACTTTCTTTTAGGGCTGCCTAGAGGATACAGATAATATAACTAAGGCATCTGGCAAGAAGTAGTCAACAAATTATAGCTCTTATTAGTATCCCTATTTTACAAAAGGGAAAACTATGGCTGAGAAGTATCGATATTGTTTTCACTACCCACTCTGGGGATAAAAATAGGAAAATCTATTGTCTTAACACACAAAATTATCAAAAGAATGAAACTAAAAGAAACTTGTGAATTCAACCGTAAGTGATTAAGTGAAAGTGTACATCCGCTTGAATGCATATTATAAACATCCAACTTCTTTGGCCCAGCCGCTCCACTAATTTGCTTTCTCAGATTTCCCCTTTTAAGGAAGAGAACGTAGTGCCAGTTTACATGAATATTCTACTCTGCTTGTCAGGTCTACTTCTCAGTAAGGCTTTTGGTTTTGTGAATTATTTTCTCCAAGGTGGGCCACTTACTAGAAAACTGGGGGAAAAAAAAAAAATCAGGCACTACACATTGCACTCTTAGGTGCCACCATTCCACAAACTCAGCCAGCTAAGGCCTACGGAGGCCCTATCCTGAGCTGGGGAACTTGCCGTATGACTCCTTTTGTTCTTTATGCTCAGCTCTACTCCCTCTTTTCAATTACAGTCTAAGCTGCAACCCAAGACTTGTAGAAGTTGGAAAATGATGGCCATAAGTGGGTTTTGACTCATATTTAAAAATATTGTAATCACCAACATTTCAAAATTGAGAGAATTCATCAAAGCCTGGATTTCACAGGGCTTCTTGAAGAACACAGGGCAATCCATTTTAAAAATATTTAGCTGGCTCTTATAGACATTAAGAATTTGAAACTGTGGATTACTGTGGTAAAAAGGTTATGCATTGGCACTGTTGTCCCTGGGTGGCAAAAACAGCAGCATGCTTGGGTGCTAACCAAAAGGTTGGAGGTTATAGTCCACTCAGAGGCTCCTCGAAAGGCTTGGTGATCTACTTTCAAAAAAATCAGCCATTAAAAACCCTACGGAACACAGTTCTGACACACATGGGGTCGCCATGAGTTGGAATTGACTCAACAGCAACTGGTAACTGGTTTGGCATTAAGATCTGCTATCAATGTATGACTGATTCATACACTAATGGACTCCTATCCTAAAAATGGCCCTAAAGAAGCATGTCTATATAGTTTAGTCAAACTGCTTTTCAAAAGAATCTGATATTCATTACTTTTCCTATTCTAAATGCTACTGCCTAGAGAAAGATCAACAATAGTTGTCCCAAAGTTGGATTTAATCGCACAAAAAGCAAAAAATTAAAATTTGGAAGTTAGTCATACAAGGAGAAATGCAGAGATCAAATGGATATGGGCTGTTCTGCTGTGTTTTCATGATAAAACATCTCCTGTAACGAATTCCAGTAGACTATCCAAAATTCTTTATATTGGAATTTTTTTTTTTTTTAATAACTAGGATCAACAATGGCAAACTGCTCAGACACCATTTAGCAAATCAAACCATGCTGAACTATTTACTCTCAACTATCACGTGATAGTCTTCACATGAGGACTGCCCCAGTCTATGAGATGGGAAGGGTTACTTTCTAACCACGGCTGGTTTCTAACAATCAGGCAAACACAGGGCCACAGGAGCTGTCAATGCTGCAACAAACTGAAGATGGAAATCGTATACAGCACTCCTCTAACAGTAGCAGTGACAAGTATTTATAGTCTTTGATGTGTTTTAAAAAGCACAAAACTATAGTTAAGAACCACCTTTTCTGGTATTGAATTGTAGGTCATTCTGAGACCAGAATAAGGAAGTATGAGTATAAAGAGGTAGTATGATACTGTTCGAGTCTCAGATATGAGAAAATTCTAGTCCCCAATACAAGAAATTGTTTAATTTTGGGCAAATTACTAACCTTGTTGAGCCTTTTCTTCTTTTGTAAAACAGCAGTTTCTACCCCATTTGTTTAGAGGGTAGTATAAGAAAGCGCACTGAAGATGAAAGTGATAAACACTCAATTATAGATCCAAACAATCCCAAATTAAATTGTACTAAAATGTAAACTAAGGTAGAATATCAATGACAAATATCTCCAACTCTGGAGCCTTCTTTTAAGATGGCAACTCTCCATCTCTAGGAGATACCAGCTTCTAAGGGTGACTAAAATGAAGTTATGTGAAGGAGTTTTACAAGTAACTGAAAGTGACTTATCTTAAAAAGAAACTGGCATTCAAAGATCTACTGAGCATCTCATATTATCAATGTTACAACACAAATGGAAATCTAAATTCAATGTCTGAGACACAGAAATTGGACAGCTTTCAGGAAATGCTCTGAAGGGTATAGTAACCAAGTTAATTGTAGGGGACGGTTTCATTCACAGTTCCCTGCAAAGAAACGGAACCAAATCTTGACATTTTATATTAAGTAGGAACAGTGAATAAGGCACATAATACAGGTGGTTGTCAGGCCACCACTTTGTCTTTTTTAACTATAAAAATAAACATAAGTAACTAATGGAATAACAAAATAAAAGTTTATTTTATTAGAATTAGGAATGTTCTTTCCCTCTGGGCAACCTGAACAGTCCAGTTACAATGAAAATCTAAGAACAGTTATTTCCACAGCACAGGGTGCTCTATGCACAAAATTACAGGGTTAGGAGCATTTAATCAATTTACCGATCTGATTGTCTCACCAACCCGCCCCCTCCCATCCCCCAAGTGCTCTATACCAGGATTTGTAGCTAAAAGAAATCTGTTACATCAAGTCCTTTAGGCTCTTGTACTGAATTTCAGTTCCTAACCATGGCTGAACCACATTTTACACTGCATCCAACCATTTCAAATCAAGTCAGTCAGTCTTGGAGCTGTTGTGTATGTCTGTATGTATACACGTGTATTTCATATTTTTATTTAAATACACATAAAACACATACAATCTGGGTCTCAGAAAATTACACAGAATTTAGAGTCTGATGATAATATATGCTGTTCAGTTTTACCACTGTGGTTTGTGTCCTGAGCTTCCGACCAAAATTTTATTGTGGGTCACTGAAAGTCCATCTACTGCTTAATTATTCAAATGAAGCATGCACTTTTCAAAAGACAATGTAACTGCCCTCAAGAAGACAGGGAGACCCTGATGCTTGTTGTGAATAGAGCCCTCTGATAGCAAGACTCAGGTAGATGAGATAGGGAAGCTGTCACACAATATGGCTTTGCCTATCCCAGCCTGGGGCATCAAAGCTACTAACAACCAAAGCAGTTAACTCAGGGAATTCTGTCAAATATGGAGATAGCTGTTAAAAGCCTGGAAGTAGAAAAGGCCAGTTCACCTTGCTCCATACAACTCCAATATCCTCAGGTAGTGTGCCAACACTGAAACTAGAAAGCATCTCTAAAAAGCACTGCTCCTCCATGGGGGCTGATATTACGAAGTACACGAACTGTTTTTGGATACTTGGTGCAAAGGGAGCATGTAAAGAGGATTTATGACACTCAAACCTAGATACTGCAAAGTTAACTGGTAAGATTTTTTTAAAACACAACACATACACAGAGCATTTTTAGGGAGCCACATATATCTATATAGCAACTCTGGCTGCTTTTCAAAGTTACCAGGGAAAGGAACTTGTTCAAGCTTTCTAAAAAAAAAGAAAAAAAAAAAAAATCTGTTTTTAAATGTATTTAAGATTGATGCAGTCATTTAAAGTAAAATAAAATCAAATGGATGATGGGGGAAAGGGAGAAGAGACTATGGAAGAAGCAGACACTGAGTTCAGATTTGCACCTGAGGTGGCAAGGGCGGGGAGGATAAAAGGTACAGGTAAAGTTGATCCTAAAGCGACAAGTGGTTTAAGGAAGCAGCATAATATATTCAGCAAACATTCACTGATTTTTGATGGGAAAAGAACAGTTGCAAGTACATCTCAGGTAACAACCTTTTCTAAAAGGAAAAGTAGGGTTGATTCAGCAAAGCCTAACTTAGGCAAAAGGCCAGAGGAAAGTGAACCTACTTCCCAATGGAGTAATAAGATGTACAGTGCAAGAGCAGACAAAGCTGCCTCACAAATGGTAAACACTCCCCTAGGCGCAAGACATTTAAAGGAAGACAAAGAGGTCCTCAGCCAAAATTGGTATTTAATATTAAAACCTCTTAATCTAGTTGCCTAGTTCACTCTGCACTCCCATATAAAACTGACAGATTTAGGGATGCTGACCTGTTGAAAAATACCATAACCAGAATGGCCTAAACAGGTATACAGTTAATAAAACCACCACCATCCTTTACTTTTAACATAGCTTAGTAGAAATTTCATAAAAATGGACATCACAGCTAAAATGCATTATTAATTTTCCTACCTGCTGACAATAGAAAAGAAGCAAATTCAGTGATTTCTATTTAAATGCACTATATGGGAATATCATGTTCTAGGGGTGTTTGCCTTCAAACTGAACCCACAGCAACACACACGGGCAATTTCAGTATCCGCCATTTTAAATTTACAATCTCAGACTAAGTGAATGGCTATTTATTTATATTTAAAGCAAAAACATTCTATTTGACACCCTAACGTGGAAAAAGGGTAAAAGAAGAGCCGCAACTAAATTCTTAAAAGGCTCAAAGCAGCAATTAAAAAAAAAATCAAAAGGAAGAAAATTTGAAATGCTTCCTCTGGATGTGACAGGTAGGTTAGGAAGCCTTTGGCTGTGTGTATGACATGGGTACACAAAGGCTTAGGGAGATGGGTGAGGCCAGGGAGGGGTATGAGGTTGGGGATGGGGTCATCTTGAACTACAGCAACAAAGCTCCCCCACTGCAGCCCTTATCAGGCCATGGCATTTAGTCAGAGCTCAGCCTCCCTGTCCCTGATCAAGAGCTGGGAATTCAAGGCATGAGGCCCCTGACCAGCAACCGACATACCAAAACCAGAAAGAGCAATGTAACCTCAGGAGCAGGAAAGGGAAATCACAGAGCTCTAGTTAGGTCTTCCAGAGGTGCTAAACCAACACACCTGTTATCCCAACCCCCAACCCTGGAAATATAAAGCAAACTGAAAGAAAATGCACAGCAAATAGACATAATCTTCAAGATTTTTAAAGAATAAATATTTTTTTTGTAAGTAAACATTATGCAAACACGTGCCACGCTTGCTTTGTCCATGCATATGCGCTATATACAATTTTGAAAAATACTGTGTTGTCCTCTTGTTTTAAAAGTCATATACAAAGTTTGTTTTTGTTTAATCCTCTTGCTGCCTACCCTTCCCTGCCCCAAGAATCTCTTTACAAGGAGCTAATCATCATTCACATATGACCTTGGGGTATGAGAGAAAGAGAGTCGGTCTGTGTGTGTGAGTGTATCTGTACGTGTAGGGGAGGAAGGAAAAGAGATCCTTCACCAAAGTACAACAAAATGGCTGGTTTGGACATGAAAAGCAGTGTCAAAGAGCTGTTTTAAATTTTAACTGTACTACACTCAGGAAAAAGAAAAAGAAAAAAGGAGTCAGCTTTGAGAATGAAGCTACGTTACAAGTTAAAGTTGGAGGGCTTTTAGTGTGTCTGTCACACTTTTGTTGGCGGCCTAGAATACTGTTGTACAATGGTTTATCTACCTTTTTTATTACAATATAATTTACTTAAACTTTCCGTTAACAAAACAGAATTCCGGTACTACAGACCAGCGGTGTCAGAGGCTTAGTGCCTCCTTGTTTGTGTGTGTTTTGTTTTGTTTGTTTTAATTGCATGAGCACTCTAGATGGTAAAGTTTTCAGAGTTCATTTTATGCAGGGCCATTCTCAGTCCTCAATGTACTCCCAGAGATCTTTCTCATAGCCTTCATGCACATGCTGTAACAAAACCCTTCGTCGGCTCTCACAGTATCTGTAATCAAAGAGAAAAAAACAAAACATAACTTGTCAGTCTCCACTAACAGAAGAGTATTTACTTATTACTTTATGGCACCCCTACACAACCGAGCACTTGTTTTTAATAGGTACATTTTTACGTCTACGTGCACAGATACATCAAACTGTTTCTAACATTAAAACTATATTTTCTGTAGAGCCATGATTCCCAGCCCTGGGAACTAATTTTAGAGCATAAGTGTTAAAAGTCCTAAGGGGACTTGGAAATCATCTGATTCAACTCCATCATTCTACAGATGAGTAAACAGTTTCAGAAAGAAGTAATTTTAAGGGTTACTTATCCACATCTGTGAAATCTTTGTACACTGTAAAAGTACTATAAACATAATGTAATGGCTATAGCTGGCTAAGGAAGTGAAAATATTAGTTAGGCTAAATCTCCAAATCTTCCAATTTCCCAAAGTTTCCTACTACTATTTAACTATTAAAAAGAAATTAGTTATTTGCCAGGAAAAAACTTTAGGGGGAAGGATGTTCATGTTGAGAAATCAAACATTTTCATTATCTTTAGCTTAAGAAGCAGCATATCTGCCCCTAGGCAAAGTAATTCTCTCCTAAGAAATAAATCTAATAAAAATTCTAAAAAGTGAGTTTGGGTATATCACTTGTCAACAGCAATGACCCACAGGATCCCCATGTTAAAACCAGCATCCTATTCTCACCCCTCATCCTAATGGCCACTTGCCCTTTTAGGCTCTTTCTTCCTTGCAGGGCAGCAACTAAGTAGATATGGCTGAACAGAAGCAGCAGAATCAGCCGGTGGGATAAATGGCTGATTTTCTCCTCTATGCTTGACCAGCACTACTAGCTGCAATTCGTTGCCCAATGGACAGAAGCAATCTGCGAGAAACATGGCAGCAGCTCAGTTACTGGATATGCTAAACCCAAGTTTCACTATCACCTAACTTTACCACCAAGACATACTAGAGCACCACTGGTAAAAACTTTTGCTCAACAGCTATTTTAAGAAAATTCTCACCTGTACTTATCTTGAACCTTTTGCTTTATATCCTGCAGAGAATCTTGGGAAATATCTCGTTCCAGGTAGCCCGAAAGGACCTCTGTGGCATTCTCTAGATCTGCTTGGTTATTCTGCAAGAGGAAGAACATATAGTGATTTTTTGTTTCAAAAGAAAGCTAAAAAAGACCATTTTAGTGGCTTCTTTACCTACAGACTTACTTTCAACACTCATTTCATAATTTTCACAGGTGATTTAACTGCCTCTGTAAAGCTCTTTATTGTTTTAAGCTCTAACATCTTAATCATCCTGTTTTTAACGCAAATAATGCGAGCCATCTACGCTGGCACACCAGAGGTATTTTTGTAAACATGCTATGCTAATTTTTTTATAGCAACATGTTAAAAAAAAAAACAAATCAGTATAGTAGCTCTTACAAATACCTCCTGGGGGAGGGAGCAGTTGGCAAACAATCACAGAAAGCGTGCTATTTGAGTGAAGCGTAAAAATATGGTATTCTCTCTTTTCTAGGCATTTTTTAAATGCTAAAAGAAAGATTCATTCACTATCCTGGGAAGGATATTGAGGACAATTTAAAAGGATTTAAGAAAAAAAAAAAAAATCTTGGAACCTCCTAGTTCTGAGAGCTGCTATGTATAAAACCTCAAAGGAAAATTTGAAGAAAAAACAGAAGCCTATTTTTGTTTACTTCTGGCTACATCTGTTTCTTTTAACAGAACACTTTCTGGCAGATTAAAGTTTTTGTTATTCTTTACTATTATGGCTAGCTCTCTACATGTTACCCACAGCTCACCTGCTAGTCAGTCTTACTGTCTAGTCATCTATGACATCAATGTTTCATGCATCAATTTTACATGAGCACCTTTACTTAAAAATCGTTTATGAAAATAACAACTAACCTCGTGATAGGGAACCCAAGGTTGAGTAAGGACAGTGTTGACATGTAGCAGGTTTGTTAACCATTGTCATAGGACAACATGTGTACTGTTTAATGAGAAACTATTTTGTTCTGTGAACTTTCATCTAAAGTGAGAATAGCAGCACAACTGGAAGAACATAATCGATGTCACTGAATTGTGCATGTAGAAATTTTTGAAATGGTGTATCTTTGGCTATGTATATTTTCACACAAAAAAAAAAAAAAAAAGGTCGAGAAGGGAGAGGGTTGACATGTCGTGGGGTTGTTAACCAATGTCATAAAACAATATGTGTACTGACTGTTTAATGAGAAACTATTTGTTCTGTAAACCTTCACCTAAAGTACAATAAAAAAAAAAAAGCTAAGCTTTTCAACCTTTTATTGAAATATACTATACATACCAAAAAGTATACAAGTGGAAAATACACAGCTAAATTTTTACGAAGTGAACATACCCATGTAACTAGCACTCAGATCAACAAGTAAAATTCTACCACCATACTTTTTTTTTAGTCACTACTTCTCCACCAAAGGTAGTCACCATATTAACTTCTAATACCACAGATTTGTTTTGCCTGAATAAAGGCTTTTACCGAGAAGTTACTAGTGCTGTGTAAGCAACTTACATGGATTGTCTCACTTAAACTTAGAAAGATACTGTAGGGTTAACTTTACCTAAAGAATCTGGTTTTTCTCCTTGGTTCCTGAGAGATAACCTTTAAATCTTTGGAAATTCTCCAGTGACTGAAGCGTCTGATGAGGGCTCCAGACACATCTAACCTAAAAGGTTATGCTAGTGACTCTTAAGTAGGGACTGACCAGGAAAGAAAGACCCCTCTATTGATAGCAGCTGACATCAGGGGAAAGGGCATGATTCAATCAATTATGCCCATGTAAAAAACCAAAACCAAAACCCATTGTCATAGCAATTCTATAGGAAAGAGGAGAACTGCCCCATAGGGTTTCCAAGAAGCATTTTATTTGCCGACCTTTTTAGTTAGCAGTTGAGCGTGTAATCACTGCACCACCTGGGCTCCATGCCTATGTAATCAGGGCCCAAAGGCGGCTCTGGACACAAAAGCTTCATGGGTTTCCCGGTTGGTGAAAGACATTAATGCACTGGGATGGCAGCATGTCATTCGGGACATGGAAAAGTTCCATACAAGGAACCCTCCCAGACCTCGTCCTATGGTATCTTCATTTGTAGCCGTTCTGCTACAGTAAAACTGCATTAAAAGTACAGAGATTTCCTCAGTTCTGTGAGCTGTTCTAGCTAATTATTGAACCTGAGGGAGTAGTGGGAGCCCAGCACATCAGAAGTGAGGGGGAGCTCTGGGCATCCTGTGGGAGTAGTGAGAAAACCCGAAAGTTGTAGTCAGGTCAGAAGTGAGAATGTAGTGGGACCCCAAGCATGAAGCTGGCATAAGAAATCTTGGGCAGACTTGGCAGTCTGGAGGACTGTGCCGTTTACCTTTTGAAATATGACCTAGCACCATGAGATTAGGATCAGAGGAAGAAATATCACACCTGCAGCTAAGGTGAATTAACAGATTGCACTGATTTGAGAAGTGTGATTTGATCTTCCCAGCAGGTATTATTCTCTAATGATTCCCATTTTAAAACAGAAATGGAAAAAGTTAAATAATCTGCTCCAAGTCCAGAGAGCTAAAAGTGGTAAGTCAAGATTCAAATGCAGGGCCCTTAATTGCTACCTAACTAAACCACATCAATCTGAATGTAGTTTAGGGCAAGAAATTTAAATTTCTTTCCTGTATCTTCCTAATGAATACTATGTTTACCCACATTTTCTGAGTTGACAGAACCTTTAAAACCCTAACTTTTCTATGAAAGACCAAGTGGTCCTATGAGACAGGGTGAGCTTTTATCCCCCCTGAAACTATACCTACCTCAAAGATAATGGACTGGTTATTCTTTTTGAGGTAGAAGGCGAAGACGTAAGTGTACATGAGTGTGGCACGACACTGGCAGAGGACATCAACTGCTTTCTTCAGGAACTGCACCTCGATCCAAGACATGTTGTGTTGTTGCATCTCCTCCATCTTCTGTTTCACCTGAGCATACAGTTTGTGCTCAAAGCGTAGACTCTGCATGTGGTTCATATAGCGATTACAGTAGAACAGGTACCTCTGCAGGGCTGCCCTAGATCGCTGTTCCATTAAGAAAAATAAATACATTATACACAAAAGCTGTTATCCAAATTTACTGGTGAAACAGTCTAGGAACTTAATCTAAAATCAGGAACAAAACGGAATACTGCTATCTTTGTTATTTAATACTGCCTTAACTGTTCGATAGCTATGCTTTCCAATACGGCAGTCACTAGCCACATGGGCTACTTAAATTTCAATTAGTTAAAATTAAAAATTCAGTTCCTCAGTGCTCAATAGCCATTTGTGGCTAGTGGCTACCAAACTGAGGACAGTGGTGATACAGAACATCTCCATCATTATACTGGATAGCACTGTTCTAAATATGCAATAAGATGTATAGCAAACAATAAGCACAAATATTTTAAAGTAGAAAATTATAGAGACAACCAGATATTATATACCTCCTGATGTTATGCAAAAGAAAGTAAGCAAACAGTACCAATGCTTAAATGTTCTATGCTTCCATCCCCCGAAACTGAATCTGAATTTGATCAAACTTCTAGAATTAACCACCACTTTCAAGAAATACAGGGACAGAAGAACCTATTACATGATACCATGGAGTTATAATCAGCAAAATCCAGAATGTGGAATATTCTACAGGACAAGATGACCAAGCTTCTTCACCAAATAAATGGCAAGGAGGGTAAAAAAAAAGGAGCCACAGATTAGAGTCGAGAGACATTAATCAGATGCAATTTGTGGACCTGTGTGGATCCTGATCTGAACCAACTATAAAAGAAGATTTATGAGACAACTGGGAACATTTGAAGATTAGATAATTGTTGATACTAAAAAGCACTGCTTTTAAAAAATGTATATATAAACTTTAAAAGGATAAATGTGTATTATTTATCATATTGCAAAAATAATTTACACAGATTATCTCCCACTATACTATAAATCTCTAAAGGGGATGCACTTTTAAAAACTCAACCTTGGTATCTCCAGTACCTGATGTACAGAAAGTGATAAACCACAAGCCATGTTACTTCAAGACTCAGGTAAGTATCAAATCAATGTTTATGCACTGAAAAATTATGCCAATCCAAAAATATATGTGGAAAACAATCTGCTTGGCATTTTCTCAGTTGAAAAAGCACAAATGTTTCCAAGCCTGTCAAATTCCGAAAATGGAACACCTAAATTATCATATTAAGATATATGATGCTGGCGGACTTCTTTTTTAATCTGACCGACAATTCTGAAACATCATCTTCTCTCTAAAATATCTCTGAAACTCAGCATGAAAAAAGGAAACCCATGCCGTCACTGCAAACAGGACTAACTTTCCAAACAACTGTCAGAATCTGGACTGAGAAGAGCAATCAGTGGCCTGAAGAAACCAAAACTGACTGCCCAAACTATGACCCGCAAGCCAAATCCAGCTGCTGCCTGTTTTTGTAAATAAAAGTTACTTGGAACACTGTCATATCCACTAAGTCTAAAGCTTCTTTAGCAGCACAAGGGCAGAAGCACAGTTGAGTAGTGGCAGCAGAGTCCTTATGGTTAACAAAGCTGAAAATATTTACTATCTGGACCTTCACAGGAAAAGTGTGCTGACCCATAGTCTAGAAGACAGAAAAATTCAAATGTCTACCACTATTAGTACTGTGGCATAGTATATTAAGTCAACAATTATTTTACAATGCAGGTACAGCTTTCTGAGGCACTCAGAGTACCATCTAGGTTTTGTTGTTGTTTTTTTTTAACAGTCACTACACACATTGTTTTTTGACATCAGTTAACAACTCCATGACATGTCAACTCCCTTCTCAACCTTGGAGGACTTTTTTTTTTTTTTT